CTGCTCCCACCATCCTTGCTCCCCAGTTCATGCCTCTGCTCCCTCAGTGATGCCCCACTCAGCCGTCCAGAAAGTCCACGTACCATTTCCAGCCTGCGACGCTCTCCAAGGGGGTAAGCTGGAGCGCAACATGTTCTCCCCTCCAGCCCCTCCAGCTATTTCCCCCTGTCTACAAGACCGTACTCACAGCTCTAACCCCATTTTGCAACAAGCCCGAAGGGCGGGTGCCAGCATCCCGTGTTGCACGGGGCCAAACGTCGCCTGACGTCGCAGGCGCTGCCAGCAAAATGCGATGAAACACCCCCCCCCGCCATGATCGACAAGAGGCCTCAGGGAGCACAACTCAAAAAACCCATGAGGAAGCGCTGGCGTTTCGCCCACGATCCAGCTATTTGATCCAAGATGCCCCGTGCTCGGTCCTGCAGATCAAACCTCCGTGCGAGCGTGGCTCCAGCTGCAAGGCAAGGGGCTGGGAGCCCCCTCCCTCCTCTTCCTCACGGCATGGGTTTGCAGTCGCCCACCCTCACTGGAGGAGATTCTTCTGCGCTTCGACAGTGTCTTTTTTTTTATAAACAACTGAGAAGCGTTTAAAGCCCGCAGCGTGCCATCTCCCCTGCCGACCCCGGCCATACGGGCAGGCGATGAGAAGCAGCTTGTCATGCCAGGGGTAGGAAATGCTGCAGGACATCACCCGGCAAAGCCACGTCTGCCAGGAGTGGAGACAGATGTCCCCGTTGTTAAAAAAAAAAACAAACCAAGGCGGGAGGTGGCAATGCCAAGGATGGCCAGGTCTGCCTGACAGAAACCGTCTGCACGTTCATCCCAGGATTTTTTGTCTTTCATCCAGCTGCTGATCGGATTGTCACGAGACGGATGAAATTCCCAGCACCAGGTCTTGGCAATTAAGCGAGCGTGGGAGGGGAGCAACGTTTCCATGCGCCGCATTGGAGCTACTGCCCGCTCCAGCTCTGTTCTGTCAGAATTACTATTAATACACCCCAAAAAATATTTGTGTTAGAAACCAAAAGGTTTACATAAACAGACGCTTTGGAAACAGTTCCTAAGTGATGAGAACCAACAGTGATGAGAACCTTTAGATGATCCGTCACGACTCACCTCGTGGATTAGACATTTGTCTATGAGCTGTAAATAGGAACTTATATTCTCTTCGTCGGGTCGGGAAACTAAAAGTTGTGTGCATACTGGAAAAAAAAAAAAAGAAAAGACAAATGAGCACGGGGACACAGAGCTGGGGTCCAGGGGGGTCCAACAATTGCTTTGGATGTCCCGTTTCCCTTATCCCACAGGCACGTTCTCTTTCCCATCAGCAAGAAAAAAATGCCCTAAAAAGCTGTGCCGTCCTATATTTAGGGCCAGATTTTGTTCTCCATTATGATAGTGTAAATTCAGAGCAACCCATTGGTGTCACCAAAATTAGAGCTGAACACATCAGGGGCATGGGATTATTCCTTATTCCTTGGCAAAAGCCGGCGCTGGGAGAGCTCCTGCTCCTGTGCCCAAAATCTGTCCCCACTCTTAACATTTTCTCACCTCTCCTGACGGATTTTCATCTCTTTTTGGAATTAATGTCATAAAAGCAAGTGGAAACGAGTTCACAGAGAAATTAGTCTCTCCTGTCATAACTCCCGGGCAGGGATGCCTTGCTGTCCAGGAGGACACCTCAGCCTGGCAAGCCTTGTGCCACACGTATGGCTTCGGGCATGACGGGTGCGTTGGTCACCAGCTGAATTCATCAGCAGGTTTATAACGGGCCCAGAAACCCACATCTGTCTGGGCATGCAGTCAGTTAGCTGGTGAGAAATCCTGCAGGGAATTCTTATATAGGAAACACCTCATCTGTTTTTTTTGCGTAAAAGGTCTGAAATAGGGACAGGGCTGGTATTTCTTTGTGGCACCTCAGTGGATTTCTGTTCCCGGTCTCCCGTGAGATCCTGTGGATGAAATTCTCCTCCCTTCTTCCCCAGGGAGATGTCCCTCCACACAGCCAGCACTGACACCTCAGGTATCAGGAGGGGGTCGGGGGGGGTCGATGGAGGTCAGGACACATCCGAACTCGTGCAAATTTTCTCTAAGAGCCCTGGATATGGCACAGGAGGTCAGTCCCTCCCTCACATCACATCCCAGTGTGTTAATCTTGACGCAAAACCGTGCACCCGCCAACGTGGAAAGGCACCTGAGTAATTTTGATGTCCTGCACCTAAACTGGGGCTTAAAAAAGGGGTTGGACCCAGCTGATCTGCGCTCAGGACAGCTCACACTAAGCCCACGCACCAGTGCTACCCCAATGCCAGCAGAGCAAGTGCTGAAAACACCTCTGGACTGGTGGGATGCTCCCAGGGCTCTGAATGGGAAGGAAGAGGGTGCCGTCCCCTCCCCAAATTCACTTCCCACCTCCCCAGCCACACTCTTACCTCTTCCCACAGCATGATGGGACCTCAGAAAAAAAAATCATCCGCCCCTAGGACTGCAGTTTGCAGGAAGAGGCTCAGGGAAAAGCTGCTGTACCCTGCCCCGAAGCAGCTCTCCCTATCAAGGACACCAAGAACAAGTGGCAGCCGCTCACCTTTCCCCATCACTCTGGTGAACTGTCCGGGCAGGTCACCTTCAGGCAAAGGGGCCCCCCCTGACTCGCCCTCACACCCCGGTAAATGGTGCTGCTGCATGCCCCCCGCGGCAGAGTCCTTGCAGTCAGAGCCTTGGCTATCTGAGCTGAGCAGGGAAGGGGGGTGATGCGAGTCCGCGTCCCGGCTGTGCTCCTCCGTGCTCGAGTTTTGGGAAGAGTAGGCTTTGATGGGGGTGAGGATCATTTGGTGTAGCTCCTGCAGTGGGACACGCAAGTTGCCACCTTCCAGGATGTCCTGAGGATGTCAAGGGGAGAGAAGAGGGTTTGCCTCAGCGGGGCCATCAGCTACAAACCAGACCCCTACTCGTACCCCGCCAGGAACCCCCAGCAAAGCCAACAGCCTCTCTCCTGCTCCAGGACCCTGCTGCCGTCCGTAGCCAGGAGTTCCATTCACTGTGTCTTTTGCTTAGACCAGGGGAGCATGGAGCTGCCGCAGGGACTGTGTCTCATTACCCATGGATGTGGTCCGACCTGAATCCCCAGAGATAAACGTGTCCCATCAACCACTGGGACCCAAAACCAGCTTCAGCCTTTTCAAATGTCCACCAGGAAGATGGTAACTCCATGAGAGCAATCGAACCTGTGAGATTTCAATGCCCAGACCAGCGATTGTCTTGCTCCTTCCCTAGCAATCCCCCAATTTTGACATTTTAGCTCTATTTCACCGGAATGCCATTTTCTAAGGTTCCAGCACTGCCTTCAGCTTGGAGATCCTGGGCGAGGTGCACCCAGGAAGGAGACGATGTGGGCACATCCCCAGTCTTGCTCTTGGTTATAGAGCGGATCAAGAGCTCCCCTTCTACACTCAGATCCTCATCTCACCGATGGGAAATAATTGCATTTTGGTTTTCAATGTCCCCTGGACCAGAACAGCTCACTGCAGGCTCCTGCACGGTCTGCTTCGTGGGACACTGCTTGGAAAGAAGTAGCTTTTGGACTGAGTCCTGGCTGTGTCTTGGGCACACAGGTGGATGAAGCCCTAAAATGCTTGTTCACCCTAATCCCTGCTGCACCCTCAGCTCATTTCTTGGATGCCTCAGCTCCACTTCTCTCGAAGACCTGGTGTCAATCTGCTGGGCATTGGGTTTTTTTTGGAAAAAAAAAAACAACAAACCCCAAACTGCTCAGCTTGCTGGCAGAGTAGGGTGGAGCAGCTATTTCCAAGAAAGCAGCAATGTTTAGCAGTGAGACACTGCCCGAAAAAAAATAAAAAATCAAGTTGCACACATGCTCTTGTTTAGCAAAAAGAAATCGGATGGGAAGCCTGGAAAACCAGAGACATCTCCTCCCAGGCAGCTCAGAGGCAGCGAAGTGGGACACACTCACAGCCCCACAGCCCTAACCCACACCACGAGGCTTCAGAAGCAATTCCTGCCATTTATCTCCCCTATTTTACGGCGTGCGTGGCCGGCTGTGGCAGCTGCACTGGGCTTACCATCCCGCAGCAGCAAATCAATACCATATTTTAAAACCTGGGCGGAGAAGCAGGGGAAGAGGCTGTGCAATCGCCTGGAAAACACAGTGCCGAAGCAGGCTCAGTTCAGAGGGCTGTCTCTTGGATTTAATACTTAATATAAGGATGTAAATATGGCTTTATTAGTTCCTGCCACGCTCTGAGTACAATCCCATATTATAAATAAATAGCGAAGCAGTGAGCTAACGAAAACACCAATAAATAGCAACACACCACGTAAGTATTTAAAAGCCCCTAGTGGGAGGCTCTGCAAGTTGCTCTTTGAAGACGGTGCAATTAAATATAATATAATATTGTGAGAAATAAACAGGAAGAGGATGGGTGAGCTGCTCACTCTGACAGCCACTTCTGCAGAGTTTAAGCTTTTGTTGAAGTGACGGAGAAGTCACTGGGGACAGGTTGTCTATAGGATGCTCCAGAAAAGCGCCGTGGGCCTTGACCTGACAAGACACTGGGAAATCCTGTCTCTTTTTGGGGATGGAGAGGTAAGGGCAGGGCTCTGGGGTCCTCGTGCTGATGCTGTGCATGGAGGGGTCTAATAAGAGAGGAAAGTTGCATCGAAACGGGAAGAGATAACTGAGTGGCCGAGTGATAACCAAGGGTTAAAGGCTCTGCCCAGCTGGTTCTCCAGCAGCACAGAGCACTGTGATGGCTGCTGAGGGTAGAGCTGGTCCTGCACCATGGCTCAGCAGATCTGTGAACACCTTCCCATCACGTCACGGGGATGAAGCCCTCCATCACTCACAGCTCAGGTGTTTCTGAGCACCCTAGAGCTGGTCAGGGCTTATCCTGGTGCTGCAGGGTACATCCATCCCAGCAGCCTGAGTGCTGGAGATGGATTTAGGACCCACTCCGCAAAATACAGCCCCAAATCAAACCTGCATCTGGTGCAGAAGTGTTTGAGACACCATTCAGATATGGACAAGCCAAGAACTGACTTCTCTGCAAAAGATCCCAAGTAACCAAAGAGTGCTTCATCCCAGAATTAACTCTTTGCCTCTTGAAAAAAAAAACATACAAAAGCGGTTGTGATCACTTACCCTTTCCAAAGATTTGAGCAGGTTTTGTCTCTCCTTTAGCTTTTGGATACTGATGACTATTTTGTGTCTTGCGCCTTTGGTAACATTCTGCAAAAAACCAGCACAAAACCTGGCATTAGCATTTCCTCAGAGGAGCCAGGACAAGCCAAATCCTTCCTTCCCTAAATGAAAAGGGCTGCTATAAACGAATCAAATTTCTGAGCGCAGGGATTAGCGGGGGAAATAGAAAACCACCCCGAGACTTGCTGGAGATAGAGATTCCCAGCTAGCCTGTCCCTCCCCGGAACATCTCACACAGTGAAAGCCAAGGTGCTGACGGGCCCTCTTCATCCCGAGGAGAACACAGCGGTAAATCTGAAGGCAGGGACATTTTCAAAGGTTAACAACTGGCCACCACAGCCCCACTGACTTTAACGGAGTTGGGTGCTGCAGACTGTGCCCCTGAAACTCCTGACCTTAATCCCAGCTGTGAAAATACCCAAGCACAGCTCCTAGCGATGGGACAAGGCCTTTGGCAGGTACAATGTGGTTTTGCAGGTAAAATGTGCTTTTCTTTCCCTTCTTTGTTTGGCTCCCTGTGGGCAAAACGCCTTCCAAGCGAAGACACAAGAAGAGGTGTTTGAGGTGTCTCATCTACCGACTGCACAAGCGTCAGGACCACGGCTGACGGCTTTAGGAGTGACATGGGACGTACTTGTGCCTCGAGCTGGCATTCGGTGAGGGCCATCATCTCCTCGTACGTCATCTGCGAGAAGAGGGCGGCGTACTTGTGCAGCCGGAGGCTCTTCAGCCACGCTGGGACATCTGCAGCACAAAGGTAAGGAGGTGAGAGCTCTCGTTGAGTTCATGATAACCACGCACAACAGTATCAACAGCAACGCGAGGAGTTGCTTGGGTGCCATCCACCATCCCACCGGTGCTTCTGACACCTTCGTGGACCTTTTGGAGGACACACTGCTACGGATATGGATGGCAGGAGGAACCAGTCCCTGGCTGAGGACATAGTGCTATGGACATGGATGGTAGGAGGAACCAGTCCCCAGATGAGGACATGTCCTCAAAGGATGAGTTCCTGCAGCTGAGCCATTGGAAATTAGCCCACGGGGAGCCAGGGTTACACCTCTGCACGTCAAGCTCCTCGCTGCCCTTTTCCCAGGGATGTGAGAAATGCCGAAGCTAATGGCATCGTTGAGCTTAGGACAAGCAAATGGCTGTTTCGCAGATGGCAGACCCTGATTTATGGCATGAGGGAAGATGGTATGTGCTGAAAATTTAAATAGCTGCTTAAAGAGAACTAAAGAGAATAATTTTTTTTGAGCATGGAAGAAATGACGTGCCATCAAAGTTGGTCCAAAAACCTGTTTCAGAAGGGTGACGTCAAAAGGCACTGACTGAAATGACTCTTTCCTTCCCAGGTGTTATCTGCAGTGTAGCACCTCTGTGCCCAACTGGATGGGTACCCAAAAATACTTCTATCCTCCTGACATCAATGTGGTTTCACAAGGAAGGACCTGGGAGGGGAACTCTTCCTCTGCACCATGCAAAACCCTATCAGACTCCATGATGGGGTGTCCTGCATGGACAAGGCAATGGGATAGAAGCCTCCCTGGCTCCAGCCTGCCCAGCACCTACTCAAGGTTTTGCAAGTTTGGGGAGCCCCTTGCGACACCCTACAAGGGAGGGGGTGTGGGGGGTCTGAAGATGCCGGTGCTGCAGCACGATGCCATGCCCGTGGTGACGCTGTCACTTTGCGAACGCTGTGCCAAATCGGGACCTGCTTTATTTAGCACCCACAACCCAACAATAGCTCTGCCTCAGCCTACCCAGCTCACGCGCTCCGCTCCCAGCTAAACCCTTCTCCCTTAGTCTTTGTCCCCTTCCCCACCAGCGAGACGCCCGGGAGCCCCGTCTCAACCCACAGAAGCTGCAGTAACAATGAAAAAACCTGATGTTTCAGCCTCAAACCTCACACCTCAAATGGAGAGAGCAAGCGGAGGGTTGGGAAATGTCTCTTTCGGGGTTAGATACCAGTTAGCAGGAACACTTCGCCTCGCTTCCATCGTTGCCGAGTCAATGTACAGGGCATCAATGGGGTGGACCCCACAGCAGGTAGGGCCTGACGGTGCAGGAGAGTCTGAGAAGAAGGACGTTGGATGCCCCGACGGGGTTCCTCTGCCCAACATGCCCACCAACGAGGGCTTGCACTGTTTTTTGGGAGGGATTTCTACCCACCGTGTGCTTCTGCCCCCAGACTGGGGCTGCTGGTGTTCTGCTCACCATCCCCTCACCAGCACGAGGACAATGTCCATGGCCACGTCCAATATCCTTCACTAATCTAGCCAACATCAAAGGTTTTCTAGGCTGATCCAACAGCAAAGAATGAAGCCAGATTTGCTTCAGAAAGGCATGAGACGGTGAGGAGGACAGTCCCACTGCTGAGACATCCCTTAGTGTGGGGGTGGTCTCTTCCCAGAAAGCCCCACGTTGCTGAGTGCCAGACTCAAGTCAAGGATTGTCACAGATCTCTTCCCGAACTAACACCCTGTCGCTGGAGGGGAGAGGGCAAGACGGACCATTAGTTTGGTTCCCTGATGATTCTTTTATCTGCAGGAAGTCTCCTGCTGCCCCAGCTGACCCCAAACCTCACTTGCATCCAAGCAGAGGATGCGAATGGCCCCAAAATGTTGCGTTTTGCTCACGCTCTCCATCCCGTGACACACATCAGGATTCACCTTTCAACAAAACTCCTCAAATGCTGCACAGAAGGAGATCAACCCCACACCAGCCATGAAGGTAAAGGAGCTACTGAGCATGGACAGGCTGAACTTCACCATTTTCCAGAAGTCCCGACAAGCATTGGTCCTAAAATCTGCCACTGGAGCCCTCTTAAACCCCAGCTTCTGTTTAAAAAATTAAAAGCTATTTAAAAGGTCAAATTACGAGCAGAAAGTCCCCTGTTTCCAGCGCAGGACTGGCAGGCTCGAATCTAAACTTCATTTTAACACCAAACTATATCATTTTAGTGACCACATGTTAAAAGTCTACCTGATCCCGTGTCCCCTGGTGTCCTGGTTGGAGCTAAAACAAAACCGATTCTGTTCAAACCAGGACACCTGGGGACATCTGCCCTTGGTGCACATCCATACTGATGGCAGAGCCCACGGGGATGCTTTCAGAAGAAATGCAACTTCATATGGACATTAAACCCTCAGAAAACCCATCCCTTATCACAAGAAAGAGGCAACCAGGAGGTGCAAGGTTATCTGAGGTGATTTCATGGTCCTTGGAAAGCCAAGCTTCCTAACGATCCCCACGGAGCAGCAAACCACCTGTCCGCGGAGCTGCTCTTTAATCACCGATTACCGGGAGCTAATTGCAAAGTCACGGCACGGCTGTCAGAAGCGCGCCGGTCTGATGTGAGCAGCAGAGCGAGGACTCTGTGCTGCTCGCACACGTCATCCCCTGCAGGCACGAAAAAGATTCGGCTGGCACAGGTACACCTGGGTGCCGGCACGGAAATTTAGAAGGAAACCCAATTCACCCTGCCGCATAAATACACACAGGACAGCTTCAGAAGTGCCCTTACGGCACAGCATGCTAAACCATGGGCGTACTTGCAGCAGAAACCCACAATTTTACCCAAATCCTCCCGGTGTGCCTCAAGCTGTGTCCCAGGAAGGGATGGACAGACGGACAGACAGGCTCTGCAAGGGACGAAGTGTCTGTGTTGCCTCCTGGAGAAACCAGGGGCTGGGAAAAAGCCCAAGGGCACTTTTCCTTCAGCACGAAGATAGATGGGAAGGGGAGAGACAGGTGAGTTTAGGGGAGCTGAACTACTAAGCCACGTTGGATGAGGGTGCGTCATGGGTCTGGTTTCCCCACTGCTCTCCTGGACATCCCACAGGGTGTTAAAGAAGGAGCAAGCTGACCAGAGGCATGGGTGACACCAAGCCCCAGGAGCCTGCAGGCACTCGGGGGGCAGACGTGGCTGCAATTCAGAGAAGGGACTTGGCAAGCGGAGCAACCAGTCTGGATGAAATAAGATGCAATCCAATAAAAATGCACAAAGTTGTGCGTTTCTGTAAGAACAAGAAACGGCACGAACCAAGGGCAGGGAACGGGCAGTACTTTTTTTTTCTTTTATTTTTTTTCCCGCAGGAAAGCTGTGGGGATACAATGGGCCACACGCAGCCCGCGGTGGCGTGTCATTTGAGGGCGACAAGCTATATGGCCACAGGAACGCTGTCTGTACAGCAAGCAAGGCTCTGCTCCGCTCCCCAGCAAAGTTTTGGGCAACAGGCTTCCAATAAACTACACGCTTTCTGAAAAAAAAAACAACTGGCAGAGACAAGCAAGAACAACCCCGAGTTTAGAAAACACCATCTGGGAAGAACCTGCATGGCTCAATCTGAAGAAAATACAGTGGAGGGGGGAGGACACGACAGTTGTGGACACCAGGGGCTGCAGACATCTGTTTCACACGTCCCCAGACAGTGGCACAAAAGCAATATGTCCAATCCACAACGGGGAGTTTAGATGTTTGCAAATCTTCCTCCAGAGAAGGATGCCTGGGATGGGTTGGCCTGAGGAAAGGCCTCCAACTCCCCTGGCGGGGCTGCAGGCAGAAGCCACGGGCTGTCTTAACAGAATCATAGAATTATGGAAGTTTTGGCTGGAAGAGACCTTCAAGATCGAGTCCAACCTCTCTCTAGCCCTATCAACACCACTGAACCACGTCCTTCAAGGCAACATCTCCCCTTCTCTTAAAACACCTCCAGGGATGGCGACTCAACCCCCTCCAATGCCTGACAACCCTCTCAGCAAAGAAATTCTCCCTAATATCCAACCTGGCACAGCTTAAGGCCATTTCCCTACGCCCTATCACTTGCCACTAGGGAGAACAGACCAACATGTGGAGTTTATTTATTTGATTATTGCTCTTGGACAGCCTGAGCAAGAGCGTTTTTGGGTTTTGCAGGCTCGGCTGTACAGATCGATTATGTTTCTACGCGTGCAGGTCCTGGAGCTGCAGCTCCCCATGGTCTCCTCCCCAGCTCCACCAGCAGCAACCTGGGGAAATGTAGCATTGAACAGACCCCTCTGCACCACTTGCTCCCAAAAAAAGGGTCTCCCTGGCTTGACGAGATGACAGGAGCTCTCCCCAAGCACGGAAAGCCTTGGGGACCCTTCACGCTGACGAGGTGTTCGTTAGCGAGCGGAGCTGCTGAGAAGCAAAGGTTTGTGAGGCCGTTCCTGCTCAGAACACCCTCCTGTCACATCTCCAGCCCTTCGTCCCCAGCCCAGAGCCACGCTAAGGCGCAAAGTCCAACCAAGGATGAGGCTGAGGATTTGTTTCATGGGGGAATTGAGAGGTTTTTTTTCATGCACATCAAAGTCACGCAGCGCCAAGTCCCACGTTACAGAGATCTTCTCTAATTAGAAGAAAATCAGACCTTGTGGTGATTTAAAACATATGATTGTTTCCTTATTCAGACACATCATCGGTCTTTACATAATTGAGCTGCTTGGCATTAACGAAAACTGCAGTTGTTTAAATCAGTTTCTGACAGCTGTGGGTTCATTTTCAGTCATTTTGTCTGTTCACAGAAATATTTTTTGCTCAGTTTTTATCTGTTTATTCCTCTACAATCTAAAGTTTGCTCTCTATCTTTGACTCCGGCAATCGGGTTTTTTTTCTGCCCCGTTTACCAACAGGATCATGAATATTTATTGCTCGGGGTCTCTGTAAAATGCAAGTGCAATGGGAAAAAACAACTGGAATACACAGGAGAAATTCACTGCGAACAGGTATGCTAAGCCAAAACTTCCCCAAATACTTGTTGGGTACCAAACCCCGCAACAGTAAATTGGCTCGCTAAACTTACACTAAGCCATTTTTCACCGTAATAAAAAAGAAAAGAAAAAAAAAAAAGAGAAGAGAGCACCACTCGCAGCCAAAAGCCAAGGGCTATGGAAAAAATCCAACTTTTTGGAAAGCTTGCAGCTCGCAGGACTTTGGGGCATAACCAGCCCACCGGCACCCAAGAGAAAAAAAAAACAACAATCAGGCCCAGCCGCTACTTAAAAGAAAACCCGACTTTTTCCCCTAGACCTAAATTCCTAAGCTGGCAAGAAATGCTGAAAAGCCATGTTTGGTTACAAGGACTCTTGCCCAAAATTCCATGCCAAAAAACGGCTTTTTCCCCACCTGCCTCTGGGTTCTGGGGTCAGGGGGTGGGGTGGGGTGTCAGGAGAGGGGGGAAGGCATCTGTTTTTTCACTCACCTTTCATCCCACTCCCTTCCTCCTGGAATGTGTTACGAGCGGAAGGCTGATCTTCTAAATGTTCACTCCCACCACTTCCCGAAGAGGCTACACTGCTTTGTGGAGACAGGGGGGCATGATCGGAAGGGATGCACTGGGGTCCTCTAGCTCGTAAGTCCTCATGAGACATCCATCCATGTCCTAAAGGTTGGTTTGGCACATTCATGGGTGGGGTAAGGGACACAGAGCGTTTCAAAGGGCTGTGGTGTGTCTGGCCTGAGAGAACTGGAAAAAAAAAAATCAAAAAAAAAAATCAAAAAAAAAAATCAAAGAGGTTATTCCCCCCTCGCGGCCCGGGATGCAGCAGAGTCCCCCGAAAAAAAAAAAGAAGAAATCATTTTAAATGAAAACATAAAATCATAGAATCATAGAATGGTTTGGGTTGGAAGGGACCTTAAAAATCATCTCGTTCCAACCCCTCTGCCATGGGCAGGGCCACCTGCCACCAGAGCAGGTTGCTCCAAGCCCCATCCAAACGCCTGCTGGTGGGCCACGGCTGACGGCTTTGTGTTGCCTGGAGCTACCCGAACCCTGCCCTGAGCTCTCTGCTTTGCCTCCAGAGAAGCGAAGGGGCCGGGGGTACCTTCTAGGAGATGGGGTTACACAAGCTACCTCGGGATGCTTAAGGAAAGGTGTGGCGTGGATTGCATTTGTAGGAAAAAAACCAACAAAATAAAACCAATAAACAGAGCATCTCTGGAGGTTTTCCCCAGGTGGAGTCACGTACTGACAGCAAACCTGAGCATGGGACCACGTCTGGTCCTTGGTTGCTGCCTCTTGCCAAGCCCAGAGCCTGGGTGGTGTCTCCCTTGCAGGGAAAGCATTACAGGTGTAACGGGATTGAGACCATAAAACTCACCCTACTAACATCACCTGGACCCGTACCTTTCTGGGGAAGGCATAAAAATCCCCAGGATGGGAATGTCCTCACCCAGATCCACCAGCATTGACATACTTGCCTAACGTTACTGTGGAGGGACTTATCATCCATGGAAACGTCTAAGCCTGGTTGAGTCCCTGCTAAGATCATAGAATCACAGAATCCTAGACTGGCCTAGGCTGGAAGGGACCTTAGAGATCATCTAGTCCAACCTCCCTGTCATGGGCAGGGACGCCTCTCAACTAGAGCATGATGCTCAAGGCTCCCTCCAAATTGGCCTTGAACACCTCCAGGGAGGGGGCAGCCACAACATCTCTGGGCAATTTATTCCAAAGTCTTGCTGCCCTCGTACTGAAGAATTTCTTCCTAAGGTCCAATCTAAATCTATTCTCCTTCAACTTAAACCCATTTCCCCTTGTCCTATCACTGGCCACCCTTGTAAAAAGTTACTCCCCAGCATTCCTGTAGGTTCCCTTCAGGCATTGGAAGGCAGCTATTAGGTCCCCCCGAAGTCTTCTCTTTTCAAGACTGAACAATCTCAGCTCTTGCACTTAGCTGAGCTATCATCACCAGCGGGAGCATCCCAGCTCAACTATGCACCAGCTGCACTTCCAAGCACGTCCCTTTTAACCTTCCACAACAGCAAACACCCAAAGCAATGGTGAAAATACACCCTGGAGAAAGTGACGAGGCTGAATTCTGCCATTTCCCACCCCCCCAAAACGATCTTTTGGAATGCTTTGGACTTGTTTTTCCTTCCCAGTTGTCTATGGGTTTGTATTTCCTGGCTGAAATTTTGGTGCGATCAAGTTTAGTTTGTTTTTCACCAATAACTTTAACATTGCTAAGAAAAGGTCAATGTACCATCTCCTGTGATTTGGAGTTATTTGTCAAGAAAGGCTTTACAATAGGTAGCTATTCACTTGCCTTTTGGTCAAGTACAGAAATATGATTTATGTATGCTAGCGTATTAAAAACCCCCAAATCATAGATTTTTCTGATGCTTTATGGTAGAAGCATTGCAACTTGAATCAACTTTTAAACACAATTTTTACTGGATTGTCTCATTTTTCATTGTTCTTCTTCCACCCTGTCTCATTTTTAGTTATCTCCTTAAAGATCTGGATATCTTTTCCTTGGGTCTGTTGGTTAGTAGTGGTCATACATGGTAGATAGAGGAAAAGATCGTAGAATCATTAAAGATGGAAAAGACCTCCAAGATCACCAAGTCCAACCATCAACATAATACCACCATGACAACTAAACTGTCTTGAAGTGCCCCGTCTACGTGTTTTCTGAACACCTTCAAATCTATGAAAAGATTTGTCTGTTGGCTTAACGAAATTCAAATTCCATCCTTCGCAAACTCATTAAACTGCTCCTTAAACCGCTCCTTAAACCACAAATGCAGTTAATATATTTTAATGTACTATTTTAGGAGGTAAAACACTTGCTTAATGTTTTATTGTGGTTACTCTCAGTGAAATTAATTGAACTTCATGGGGGTTGTTTCCTAATAACCTAGACCCAAAAACTCTCTGGATTTAGTCGTCGCTCAGCCAAGCTGTGTCTCATCTCACGACCAGTTCTGGATCCAGCGCTAGGGGAAGGTCCTTTCTGGTTTGCATCAAGCCCAAGCCAGCATTGCACTTCTCTGGGTACAGATGTGGAGTCCACACCGCGACAGTTGACACAACATCTGCACCAGGCTGTGTTAACAAGGGATCACTTCTCAAAACAAGAGCAAATTCTGCAGAAGGATGCTAATTCCTCAAAATCTGTGGCTGTAAGCTGGGAAGATGGAATAAAAGGCAGATTTTCTGTGCCCGGGCAGAATGGTTAAAATGACTTTCCAAGCCCATATGAAATCAAAGCAAAAACTTTACAGTTTTTCTTTCAAAATCACATTTCTTAACTCTGTACAAAAGCTGGGGAAAATTCATCATTCTCGCTGCTTTTCCTCCTAAAGCACCAAAGCTCCCTTAACCCCCCCCCCTTTTTTTTTTGCATTGGTAGTTCACCAAAACTGCTCATGGCTCCTCCACGTGTTATTTCCTAATACAATCAAATTTTGACGGAAAACTCCCAGCCAAGTGTACTGTGCTGTAAAAGTTAAGCCGAATTTAACTCCCAGCCAAAACCTGGGGGAAAACCCATCATAAAAGCCATCTCTGCCGATCAGAAGCAGAATAAAAGTGAGAAACTAGTGGGGTTGTAAAAGGAGGGGAGGGAAAACCACCGAAGCTCGTCTGCATTCATTAAGCACCTGTAAAAAGTCACGTGCAGCTGACGGGTGAGGCCAAAACCCTGCGGATTTCTGCAACGTTTAAATCATCCCTATTTCTGAAGATGTTTTCCTCTACCAGCACACAACACTAACACCGCGCTGCGCAGGAAAGCAAGGGGATGGCTTATGGTGAATAATTTGTTCCCTTCCCATTAAATCACTACAGAAACATCTTCCAGAAGGCTCCTGGCAGAAAAGGATGTCAGCGAGGATCCAGGGCTGTTTTCAAAGCAGTGTTATGTTTCCTAAAGTTGCGATGATGAGGAAACAGCTGGATTTAAGGTCTCAGACGAGCTCTTGGCTTTGCAATTTTACCCCAAAAGCAGCATCGTATCGGGGTTCTGGAGATGTCACATCACTCTCCCAGGAGAAAAAATACTTAGCATTGAAAAAAATTAATAAAATTATGGGTGGGAAATATGGGAAAAACTTGATATATCAGCTGAGATGCACCACCAGGGCTGAGCGTCACAGCAGGACCAGCCAGAGCCCCTTCTGTGCCTGTGCTCGCACCAACGGCGGGACACAAGCCACCTCAAATTTGTTGCAGGAAAAGCTCTGGTTTAGGAAACATCTCTATCCTTTCAATGAATGAGATATGCAGGGGAATGGGCAAGGAGGACAGGAATTGCCCCCTTTTAGGAGGTGAAGGGCTGCTCTGATAGTCGTCCCTCTTACAGGGTATATGCAGCTCTGTATCCTACAGTGGTTAAGCCATCCCCTCCCCAACAAAACCTTGCAAACAAGAGGATATTTTTGGCTTAACTCCAGCTCAGATTCCCTCCTGAGCAGCACAATCTTTGCAAAGTGCTGCTCTTCCATCTTAATTTTACGCCCCCTGATTAGAAGGTGGTGTCGGCTGGAGGAGAAATAACAAACTCCCCAGGATGAGCAGGAGCAATTAGTGCAACATATAAAAATGAGTCCCACTTCTTTCCTGGAAATGACACAACGCCGGGGTCCAACAAGCCACATTTCCCCAAACCATGAGCATTTCTACTGAGCTGAGTCAATTCACACAACTTCACACGACGCAGTAACACCGAATCCTCTGCAAAGGATGCTACGAGCAGAAAAAGTCACCAGCTCTTTGAAACCTCCCCAGCTACTCTTGGTAGCAGACACTGGTTATTGCAGAGCTCTTAGCACTTTAGGCCTAGCTTTAGGCTTCGCTTAAGCCTTTCTGGCTGTGATGCCAGCGAGCAACACGATTTCTTGCAAACCCTGTTACCAATCTCCATCACTCAGGCTTAAAAATACTGAGAACCCCAGGCTGGCACCTGCCTGGTGTGCACACACCTCTCCCTCTTTTAATTCCTAACTCTCAGAAAGGGGATTAATAAATATGTATGTTCATTAGTGATAAAGACACATAACTACACATATTTATTAATAATAATGCTTGTATTCATGGTCTCGGTTTCTCGAAACAGAAGACACAGCTCATGATTTTCAGAGTGTCAGTTTAGCACAGGTTCTTCCTTGCTTTTGACAATTCTATGTGGTTTTTGGATGGTCCAAGGTGAACCCAGGGCTGCTTACAGCCGAGGAAGAACAAATCACTTAATTCAGTCTGTTGTTAAAATAACTGGTCCACGTGTGCTTTAGCTTTGGCAGAAGAAAATCAAGTGTGAGTTTATAACCTTACACTCAAGCTTCTTTTTTTCTTTTTAAATTAAAAAAAAAAAAAAGAGAAGCTTTAAGTTAAAAGGGAAATCTAATTTACTCTTCTAGGGTAAGATAAGCTTCTAGGAGGCAGCCAGAGGCACGCCTGCCTTTCTGCTCGCTGCAGTGGTGCGAGTCGGATGAACAAAGAGAGGAAACCACCGCGCCGAAGTGCAAGCCAGGCTGGCACACGGATCCTTCACAACTCCTAAGTGTGTCCCACTTCTGCTTCTGAAGTGTTTTCCTGCCAGCCGCAGGCTCGTTTAGATGGTGCAAGAGCGATCTGCTCCCCATGGACCCACCAGTCACCCTGCCAAGGCACTGCCTGCTCCGGCTCCTTCCACGCGGGCATCCCAGGTGTAGCAGGGTCCTGCCCCTGTGTCACCTCTTTGC